TAGTAGGAAAATATTCATCAAACGAATTTCGCAATTAATTCGAAAAAACTATTTCATTATTTTGGTCAATCGTACATTTTTGTTTTATCTCTTGATAAAATAAAAACAAACTTTGTATTATTTTTTTTTTAATACAGAGAATTAAAATTAGGGCTATTTACACATTTTTTTTTTTGTTCTAATAAGTTTCGTGTGTTTCCTTTTCTGTTTTAATAAAGCGCATTATTTTCTTTTTTTTTTTTTAATTTTATATAATAATGTCAACGGATTTTTTTTCTTGAATATATAATAGTTTTTCTTATTCGCTTTTAATTTGCAATCCACTAAATGTCTTTAAAATTATTTACTCATTATTATATATATGGTATTTATATTATTTATTTTATATTAAAGTCTCATATATTATTACTGCTTTTTATGTATCACTATTTGATTTATTTTTTTTTTTTTACCGACAAAGCAGGCAGCAAACGAAAGTGTTCCCCCGTTAATGATACATCAGTCTAACGATTTCTCGTAAGAGTTTTACTCGATTTTTTTTGTTTGTTATCAATATAATGACATCGAAATTTCTCATTGGATTCTCAAAGTATTAACATTTTTTTTCGTATAAATTGAAAAATATATTTATTTTCGGTAAAAAAAAAATTTACCGCCAAATTCAAAAGTGTCAAAAATGGACATATATATATGTTTTTTGGAAAAAGAATAATTATAGAGTATTTTTCTACTTTTTTTTGGAAATTGTTTTTCTATGTAAAAGTTCAGTTTTTTGAAAATTGTTTATGTAGATTAGAGAATTTTTTAAAAGTTTCTATTCGAAATTAGATTCAATATATTTCAGGAAATTAGAAGTGTTTATTTTCTTTATTAAATATAAATTTTTATCATGAACATTATATGAAATTAGAAAATTTTATATATCTAACGAAGTGGAAATTTTTTATGTATCATTTTTTTTAAACTTTTGTTTATAGAGGTTAAATATTCCAAAGGGATAAATATTTAGAAAAGGTCAGAAAGAGAGAGAGAGAGAGAGAGTGAAAGAGAGAGAGAGTAAAGGAGAGATTAGATATGTACATGAATTAAGAAATTTTTTTTTGAGATTCCAACGAAATTTCGGAAACTGTGCAAGTTTTGTTTTTTTTTTAAATTAATTTTTAGTCGAGTAAAACTTTGGTCTCTTATTTCTCGTGAAAAATTTCATGGAATTTCCAATTTCATTATATTATAGATAATAATAGTAATAATAATAATAATTATTATTATATAATAAATTTAATTTTTTATCCTTAAAACTTGAAATGAACTAAAATTAACAGAATATTAAAATGAATGCTTTTTTTTATAGAGAATTTTTTTTTAGTTTTGTATTTTATCATTTACTATTTTTTTTTATTTATATTATTATTATTAAATTAAATCTTACATTTATTTCCTTTTTTACGATAGTTTTCTAACTACTCTTTGCAAAATTTGATGAAATTTTTCACGTAAAAATTTTTAATCGATGCACAGTAACTTTTTTTTTTTTTTTTTTAAAGTAACCATTATCAGAGGCAAAAAATACTCGATATAGAATCAGAGAGAATAGAGTCTTCACAACGAGAAAAGAGTGTACATTTTTCATTCTTTAAACAATTGAAAAAAATAATCGTCGAGTATTTTTTACTTTTTTTAAAGTTTTCATTGGTCGAGAGAAAGTTGAAAGTTGCGATTTTTAGGGGGAGATATATAATATGGAAAAGAAGCTTCTTCGATGCAAGCCCATAAAAGTCTCGATTTTTTTTAAAAGCGTGTTTTATAACTCTAGTTGTAAGAATAAATATAATCCTCTAAAGTTTATACAAGGAAGTGTGTAAGTTTTTTTTTTAGATTTTTACAAGTTACAGTTGGGAATATTTTTTATAGTTTTTTAAGTAGGTATTAGAGTAAATATATCATGTACGATACAAGAGCAAAAAAAGGAGTAATAAAAAAAATGAAAAAAATTAAGAAAAGAAGAATTCAAAAAAAGCTTTTTTTTATTAAAGCGGCAGTCGATATCCGGAAGATAAACTATTATATGGTCGATTAATAGTCTTTTATCGATACTAAATCCACACTCTATTGCACTTTTCAGCCTTTGCCTAGATTCACATTTATTATTATTATATAGAGGTATATATACTAATGTATACCAAAAAATTCTACATAACTATAAGTCAAAGTCTTTGATTTTTTTAAAAATATTTTCTCTTGTATTTTTATCAAATTATAAATTCATATTATAGCTGAATATTAAAATTGATGTATTTTTTATTATTATTATTGTACCATCCAGACTGTGGATTCTCGCTTTATTCTTCATTTAAGACGGAAAATATACATAGAGGAAAATAGAGTGAAAGAGGAGCAGAATATTAGAAGTTTCTTGCAAATTGGAAATTTTCTAAAATATTTAATTCGCGATTAATTATTAACATCGTAAAATTTATAGATACTTTTCAAATTTGCATTTTTTTTGCCACAATTCAATTTTTAAAAAAATTATATTTATTAAAAAAATATATTTAAAAAAATTTCGATTTTTTAATAATGATAATTTTTATTTTATATTATAAAATTTCTTATAATAATGATAAAAGAAATTATTTACCCTCACATAAAAAAATATATGCCACAAAAGGTTAAATTAAATTTAAAAAATAAAAAAAATCATTTGTTAACATTGCAGAAACATCAAAATTCGCATTCGAAATTCAAATTTATTTAAATTTCATTTTAATCAAATGCAAAACTCGAACATTTTTATGTAAAATTGTAATTGTTGTTTGAAAAAGGCATTTATTATTTTTGTTTTCTTTTAATTCGTAAATTTTCCATTTATTTAAAAAAATATAGCGAAGGCAAAGAAAAAAAAATGTCCTGTTTTTTTTCTCCCCAAAAAAGATGGTAAGAAATAGTTATAAAAAAATGTTATCCCGAGAAATTTACATACAATATTTGATAAAAGTGAAAAAAAAAATCTTTAGAAATTTCCAATTTGCATTTGAATTTTTAAAAAGCAGAGGATTGCGAGTGGAGGCCAAGAATTTTGATCGCGAAGAACGTCAAAAAGTATATAGACGACAATAAATATTCTAAATAGACATATCCAACCGTATAGTGTGGTGGATATAAAAACCTTTTCTCTAAATCTCTAATTATTTTCATTATTTCTCCATATCGCTTCTTTTCTTTATTTCGCTATTTTTTGTATTTATTTCATTTTTTTTAATAATAAATATATTATCGTGTTTCATTTTTTTTAAATTGTTGTTCATCTATTTTGTACACACTTTTTTTGAGCACCTCTATATTTTTTATGTCGAATCTGTTTTATAACCCCCTTTTTTTCCTAAAACGCATATTTTTTTTACAGATTATTGAGCTTTCACTGATTTTAATCCGAGTTGGCTTTAAATGATTCGCAAGTTTTTTTTAAACGATTAAAAAATTACCTCTACTTATAATAAGCGTCCTCTCGCAATTTACGAAAATGTCTCTGTATAAGCGATTATCAAATTCTATTAATAATTAACGTGTTCGATTAATGTGAAATTGGCATTTTTATTAATTATCAATATATTTTTTTTAATGATATTGAAGTTATTAATTATCAATGCTAATTATTAAATTGTTAATTAGTAATTTATTAATTAGTAGTTTGCTAATTGGAAAAATATTAATTAGTAATATGCTAATTAGTAATTTAATAATTAGCAGTTTGCTAATTAGCAATTTATTAATAAGTAATTCTGAATTACTAATTTACTTATTAGAACTTTATTAATTAGTAATTAGCAATTTATTAATTAGTATTACGCTAATTAGTAATTTTGTAATTAGTATTTTTCTAATATGAAATATATTAATTAATAATTTACTAATTAGTAATTTGCTAATTGGTAATTAACTAATTAAGTCAATAGATTAAAAAGAAAAATAATTGCGATCGGGAAAATGATCTTTCACGATTTCAACGGTTTTTTTTTTATTTTTTTGCTCTTGAAAAAAATGTTCTGTTCCACATTTCTCATCTTAAATGCTGTTTTTTTTCTATAACGGACTGTTATTAATTAAAGCTAGCATTACTAAACTGTCCAAAAATGAGGACAAACAAAGCGGATATGCTCCTCTTACAATCAGTACTGCCTTAAAAATGACTCAACGAGTTATTTGTTTATAACATTACTTGCGTCGCGTTTCTAAAAAAATAATTATATAGACCAATTTTTTTTAATTATTGGTCTTTTTATTCTCTTTTCTAAAAAATGGCGGATCTCGCGTAAAAAATCTCACAATAAATTCACTGCGTTTTCTGGATGCGATCGTTGTATCAAATCGTTGTATTTATATAGCACAATAATAATAATTTTATGGTGTTTTTCTTTTTTTTCTGTATAATAAATAATTTTACTACGAATTTTTTTTTATTTTTTAAAAAGTAATTATTTGCACAATTTGTAAAATAATAAATTTTTATATAAATAATATGACAATGTAAATAAATGCAATCGGAGAAATTATAAAGAAGAAAAATTATTACAAATTAAATATATGGCGTAAATAAATATAAAAAATTTGTCTTTAATAAATAATTTTACAAAAAATGTTTTTTAAAATAAATAATTAGTTGCTAAATCGACGACAAAAATTTTGCTAAATAAATAATATGACTAGTTAAAAATTTTAATTAATTAATTAATTCATTGACTTTTTTAAAAAATTTTTTTCTTTATAAATAAATTAGTGACTAGTTTTTAATAAATATATCAATCAATGAATTAATAATTAATTAATTTTTGAAAAATTTCGCTAAATAAATATAATAATGACTAGTTAAATAAATACAATCAATGGTTATTGTTAATTAATTTAGTAAACTAATAAATAAATTATTTTTAATTTAAATTAATGATTAATTTAAATAATGATATATTAAATTAATTAACAGAATTAAAAAGAATAGTCGTGATGATGACAATGACAAAATCATATAATAATAATAATTGCTCTCGTATTTACAAAAAAAATGACGTTTTTCCGATGTTTATTTTATTATTATTATTTTTTTGCCAAAAAAATTTAATAAAAATCAAAGATCAATTATTTATTGCTCATCGCGATTTCTTTTATTTAAAGTAATAATATTGCATTAATGTCTAAAATCTATCTTTTGAATTTGTAATTTTTTTTCTCATTCTCACAATTTTTTTTTTCTTTTGCACTTTCTCGCGCGATTAAATGAAAAATCCGGCCTCAGGATATTTATAAAAAAAACAATATATTTTTCTCAGGAGTCTCGGGACCTTTTTTCCTATAATATTTTTTTTTCTCTCCCTCGCAATCATCTTTGTATATAACAATTTGCATTTTATGTATAATATAAACACAGTTATTTTTTCGATTCAGAAGGCAAGATCAAACTTTTTTTTTTGGTTTGATATACAAAAATTGTTTTTTTATCTCTATTTTATAAGAATCTAAGACGAATTTTTGAGTATTCGTAAATTTTGAGCACATGAAAAAGAACTATCAAAATTTTTTTTAATATTAATTTTGATAGTTTTTCTCATTGAGTATTTTGTATTTTTTTTTTCGTTTATACAAACACATTCGACATATAGAAATTTATCACAAATTTTTTAATGCCCTAAAACTACAATTCTGGTATAATATTAAGAATATAATATAATTGAACATCACAAAACGTTTTTTTTTTTTTATTGAGTATTACAATTACCATTGTTAATTATATTTTTTCTTTGCTATTTAAATGGTAATTTCATTATTTTTGGTGTTTCTCTTAGTCTATCAAAAAAAGTGTTTTTCGAATAAATTGGTACCGAGACTCTTGAGGTTTTTTAACAAACAAAAAATTCTATAAAAAAAATTAAAAGCTTATAGCGGCGAATAATTTACCTACTGTACATGCAGTGATATTATTTCTTTTTTTTTTGTTATTTAGCTTTATAAAAGTTTGGTTATAGGAGATCACCGGTGAGATCATTGTCACTTTTAGCAACTTGGCGCGATCTCGAAGCTTCAACGATTTAAGATAGCAATATTGCCTCCCTTTTTCGCAACTCGAATAATTTAATTTTTAATTTTTTGTTCCTAAAAGAAAAAAAGATTCTTTTTATCGTCAAAATTTTTTAAAATTTCATTTTTCTAAAAAACAAAATTGAAAATATTTCAACTAATATATTTATAAATAACAGTACAAATTAATTAATTAATTTTCGAAAATTGAAAAATTAAATTATGTGAGTTGTAATATTTAAAAAAAATTAAAAATATTCCCCTCCCCCCCTCAAAAAAGGGAGACACAACTGTTGAATGTCATGCCGAAGCTATAATAATAATAATAATAATAATAATTATATCATTTACATTGTAATCGGAATATGTTCGATGTTCGCAAAAATCTATGTTTATATAATTCGTTGTGTCGAAACATTGCTTTGACCATACGTGTTTTGTCACCTCATATTGCTCGCTAAAAAATATGTGGTATAACAATATATATATATATATATTATATCATATATTATTATATTATTTATAAGCCCAATATTCAAAAATTGTCATCTAAATTAATCGCGTGTACGTATCGTCGGTTAATCACTCATTTATACGTGTTTAAAATTGTGTATATGAATTTTCTTTCATTACATTATCCAATCAAAAAAAAACTATCAAAACGTTCGAATTTTTTTTAAACTTTTGAATTTCTTTTTCTTTTTTTTGCATTTTCATGAAAAAGATGATAGAAATATTATTATTGATAAGGACTAGGCACAATTTTTTTTTTGTTTCGCAAATTGAAAGTTTTTATAATTAATATCTTCAATTACTGGTAGTTTATAAATTGATATAGCTTTATGTTAATTAATTGATAGCTTCAATAACTAAAAAATACACCATCATTTACAATTTCAAATTTTGATCAAAATTTTGAAACTACAATCATTTGCATTATTGTAAATAACAATATTGGTCGAAATGTGGATCATTTCAATTAAATTGATCAATTAAATTTGAGCTATTAAATTAATTGCCAATTAATTTCTTGTCAATTTTGTAAAATTTACTACCATTTTCAGTTATAAATGTCATGGCAAATCATTAAAATTCTATTCTCCCTTTTGAAAGAAATAAAATTAACATATTTTTTCACCTTGAAAATGCAAATCTGGAAAAAACAAATCCGAACGATTGTTCTATAGAGTAGTATATGAAACGAACGTTTGTCAAGCTCTCGAATGAATTGTCGCGTACTTGTAATCAAGACAATGGATTAAATCCAATTTCCCTAGGATCATAACAATGAAAATCGAAAACTGAACCAATAACCGAACGATTCGGGAATTGGATCTCGCGTGACTAGAAACCGTACTATAATAAACTATCGTATAGATATATTTTATAATCGACTAGAGTGACTAGAATGTATGTATGTATGTGAATGTCTGTATAGACGTCAAACCGTTTGACGACGTTTTTTTTGTATTTTCTTTTTTTGTATATACCTTAAACATTACTGGACGTTTCATTATAATTAAGGATAATTTCTCTTCTACTGGTACTGGCACTTTTACTAATTATTCTACGGCAAACCTTTCCCATATTAATGAGTATTCTTGTTGATTTTTCCCCTGGAATTCTGGGCAGTTGAATTGTTGTTGTCTTCGTCTCTGCTAGCTGCATGAGATACCTTCGTCAAATTCTTTCTGCTACAATCCACGATTATTTGGTAGATTACTGTTACCATGCTGCTGCTGCTGTTGTACATCATCCTCGCGCAAACATGCCGATTCCAAATGTTTATTTAAATAGGATTTTAGAGCAAATGTCTTATGGCAGCGTGAACATTCGTAATTTTTATCGGCCGAATGAGTTTGCATGTGGGCTCTTAAATTCGAACGATCGGCAAATGCCTTACCGCAATGGGCACAACCGTATGGTTTTTCGCCAGTGTGACTTCGAAGATGTCCCTGCAATAGCCAGGGACGTGAGAACATTTTCCCGCATACACCACAACTGTGCGCTAATTTATGTGTTAATACGTGCATTGCCAATGCTGGCATACTCACGTATGCCTTGCCACAGTGAATACATTTTTTTGCCGATTGTGAATCGAGACTACGATGCGTTTGTTTGTGTCGTGATAAATTTGATGATGTCGCATATTGTTTGCCACATTCGGTGCATGTGAATTTTGGCTTTTCGGGTTGTTCGGGTTCTTTCTCGGGTACGGCGGCACTGCTTGAACGACGTTTTGAGCGTCCATCGGAAACAAAAAATGCCTCATATGTATAGGCAACGGTTTTATTAGAATTGCTCGAATTTTCATCGTTCGATTGTTGTTCGTGACGCTCCTGTTGAGGGAGATTATGAGGGGAAACGAGAACGGATACTGGAATGGGAATTTGCGATGGGATTTGAGATGATTGAGGTGCTGGAGGAACAGGAGGAACGGAAGGAGGAGGTGGTGGTGGCGGTGGTGGTACGGCAGATGGAATGGTGTGAATGAAAACTGAATGATTAGGAGCAGCTGGTGAGGCGCTAAGGTCGAGAATTGCCTGAGCTGCTGAGAGATCTTCTTCGGCAGATGTTCGAATCTCGGAGGGTTGAAGGCTGTAGGGTCGGTAGATGTCCTTCTTTTTTGGTGGCAGGGAGAGAGCTGTGCCAGTTGAGGTGAAACACATTGAGAGACTTTTACGTGGTGGTAGAGTGAGTGATTGGAGATTTGAGTTGAGCTGATGTTCCAAATGATGTGACGAAGGAGGTGGTGGTGGTGGTGGTGGTGATGGTGCCACTGGCCTCGCCAATTCAGCTGCTGAACGAAGGGTGGCGTACTTTGGTGGCTCCTCATGATTGATCCAGGCCTCGTGCGTGTAACCTGGAAACGAAAGTTCATGTTAGGCTTTCGGGTTAGTTGTACAAGGACCTATATATTCATTTATACATATATATTGGAGAAGATGGACTAAATTAAGATTCTGGGCCAACCGCAGAGATGGATTGTTGAATTGCACTCAAATAATTGGCTCAACTGATAACGTTTATTCGAGTGTGGGAATTTTAATTAGCCTTCTTTCGTTTTTGATGAATTCGTTTGTATTACTAATCTGGTTTAATTACTTGATAATCTTTTTGCGATATGATAAAAAAAACTTGTTGCTGAAATTACCACAAATTCTTTATAATTTTTGTCTCTAAAATCTCATTTAGTAAAATCAAATCCGTTAGTTGTGAAAAATAAAGAGGTTTAAAATTCAAGTACTGATGGTCTCTAGTGTGGAAGATAATTTATCTCGAAATGTCAGTTTAATTAATTATTTCTTATGAACAAGTTGGTGTAGTTGATAAGTAAATCTATTTAAGATGATAAACAACTTGTTGCTGAAATTGACTAACAAATGTTTGCTTCTGATCTACAACTTCTTCATGATAAATTTCTTCTATATTCTATGTTGCAACATATAACATTTACCCCAACAGTACATCTCTAAATTTCGGTTGTAAAATACTAAAATAAATTTATAGATGATCTAAATTTGTACATCTTTTTTTTTGTTGATAAAAATGAGTCAAACCCTCTAGGTTCATTCAAAGAGGGGTGATTCATGTGCATTCTCACATTTATGGCTATGTGTCATGTAATCCAAAATTATAGGAAAATACCAACCCCCAGAGTAAACCGGGAAATAAAGACATCTGCTTCCTTATTGCCATCAAAGTTTCCCTACCCTCCCCCCTAAAAAAAAGAAAATTGTTGCTGACAATTTGAGAAAATCAGAGGGGTTTCTTTTTTTCCAAATAGCAACAATTACCATTTACATATTTATGATTATATTAATATAGAAAAAGGAAATCGAAATGACTCATGCTTTCAATTATTAATTATTATTTAATTATGGTAAATTGAAAACCTGTGCCTTTTTTTGATGGATTAGTCTGTATGACATAAAATTTCAAATAAGGGTGCGCATTTAGACGGCTGCCGAAAAGTAAATTGATGCATTTGTAATATATTTAAGGGTCATTGACCGTAACCGTTGTGACAGTTGTTTCTTCCCTCCATCCATTTGTAAAAAGACACCTTTCGGGTTTTTAATTTTTTACAATTATTTGAAAATAGAGAAAAAAGTTAAAATCTTCAAGAAAGTAATCTTAAAAAGAATCTTATTGGATTTGAAGTCGATTTAATTTCTAATTCAAGTTCAACTTGAATTGCTTTTGGACATTCTCGAATCTCAAGTTCGTGAGCAATGTCATTAAATGAAAATAGCAAGGTCCTTTTCACCTTTACTTTTCTTTTTTATTTTATTTAAAAAGAACAATTGCGAGAAGGTATTCCCATATCTGGAAATTGGATTGCTCATTTCCTAAAGCTTCTCGTATATATACGGAATCTAGAGAAGTCATATTATAATAAAAAAGGAAGTTATTTGAATTCAAAAATTTTTGCAAGAGGGAAAAATTATTTATACAAAAAATAAATAGGCAAGAAAGAAATCTGCTTTTTGGAGAATCTTTTTTAGCACTTTGTCGAGATTGACGATTTGCGTTTATTATCTCTTTTTAGAAATATTCCCCCCTGAGGCTCTCTCTCTCTGTCTCTTTCTTTCTTGAATTCACCACTGGTTGCTCGGTAATAGCAAGCTATATCTACATCATTTCCTGCAACGAACAGTAGCAGCTGTTTGTGCCATGTGCGAGTAGAGCGCAGGAAAACCACCAGACGAAAAGCGAAAAATATAGATACAATACATATATTATATATGTATGCGTCGAACATAATCTCTCGGAATCTGTTGCACATATCGCACGCCACATATATTGTGCATAGATAGTAAAATGACGCCTAGACACTGATAATATCGTGTTCAATGGCTTTAACAAGTTTAAATGCCATGGCTAATAGTTATATGTTGTCAGATTTCAGAGTTCAAATATAATCTGCCGGCTTTCGACATATATGAACAGAAATAGAATTGCCAATATATTATTTGTGACTCTGAAGAAGCAGATCTAAGAGAAAAAATTATAGGTTTTCTGTATTTTGATTATAAAAATCGTTAAATTACGTTAAATCAATTTTTATTTTGCATATAAAAATTTAAACATCAGAGAGATGATTTTGTTTTGTTTATTTTTACTCTAAAACTATCATAAACATAACCTTTTTTTTCTTAGACGCAAATAAAAGAATTTTCATAAAACTGAATTAGATATAAAAAAAAGTGTTTGTTTAAGAATTTGAGATTGCGGTTTTTTGTTGTACTTAATTTGAAATGTTGTTTTTTTATTTGTTTGCGATGATAGAGAGGGAAATTCTCAAAGTTCGAAAAAGGGAAATCTGATCGTTTAGTGCTTTGGAAACTGTGTGTGTGTGTAGTAAATCAGGAAAAACAAAAATTTTTTTCCCCTATCGATCTCATATTGTACATATATATACGTCCATTATATTGGCTGAAGTAAAAGGAAGTCAACAGTAGATGTTTCTGAACGTGAATTTCATCAGCAAAAGGGAAAGAAAATCGATAAGAACAGATAGTGCATGACAGTGTTGTTTTTAGAGATATATCTCCGTCTTTCTTCGATTTACCCTCTTCTTTTTTTATTATTAATATTATTATTTATTATATTGACTTAAATCACCAAAGATTCAATTTCTAAGATACATTTATATATATGTTTGAAAACCGATATATGAAAAATGTTAAATAATTTTTTTTACCTTTAAAAGTATTAAAAAAGAAAACAAACATTTAAAAATTGTTTTTTAACATTAAAAATAAATTTGAACATTTAAAAAATTTTGCTCGTTAAAAAAATGACGTTTGCCGCATTAAAAGTGATTTTTATCATAAAAATTGTGTTTCAAAGAATCGTAAAATTTATAATTCAGAAGAAGTTTAAAAAGACAATTTCACATTTTTCCTTGATGGTCTTTAAAAAAGCAAATAAGAAAAGTTCGGCTTTTTTTTATCAAATGCTCGATTGGTATAATAAAAAATAATAATGACGCAATAAAATTTTATTTTCAAGAGATGACAATTGAATGATAGGCAATTTGTAATATATTATGGTGAATATAAAATTTTGACATTTTTTTCACCCCGCAAACAAAAATATTTTGTCAACTAATAACTTATATATTCATTGATAGGGATATAGAAAATAAAGAGGAATGAACTTTCCCTAAAAAATATTATACGAGACTAAACTATCTTCCACTATATTTTTTTTCTCCCCCACTGACTAAAAGAAAAAATGAATTATTCTTAACAGCTCTTTTGTATTATACATATGTATTCTTAAGAGATGTTTTTATCAAGTGGCAATAATTTTATACGATTAATAATCCTCCATTGACAAATATTAATAGTAAAAAAAAAAATATATTTTTTTTACCCTTGTTTTTTTATCATTTTTCTTATTTTCTTTAATAACACTTTTTGTAAAAAATAAAACAAGATAAATATATAACGTGTTCTCTAAAAAAAGGGACCTAAGAGGCAAAAAATTATAGGTTATGTTAAATGTTTACTGAAAAATTTTGTCTAGTATTAAATAATAAATCATTGAAAATAAAAAAAAATTATAAAAATTAATTACTTTTTGATTGTTTTTGATTAGTTTCGAAAAGTGTGAAGTGATTTTCATTAAAAAATGATAAACCACTTGTTGTATATGTTCGTTATCAATTTTCGTGTATTTTTTTATGTCACGTTATGTACAAAAATACCACCGGTGATAATGGGTTGTGGCATGAACGACTATAAAGAAGGAAAAGCAGTCGTATCGATATCCATGAATATTTTACGCTACACTTTTAGCGAAGCAGGAACAAGATATAAAAAGATACTTGCTATCAAAGTAATCGAGAAACTCAAACAGGTTGTACATGACAAACACTATTTTTACACTTAAACTGAACTATACTTATAAATATGAAAAATTATTATAATGTCCCCTAACGAAACTTTATTTCTTTATAATTCGATAATTTTCTCACAAAATAGAAACAATTATTATTAACGAGAATTTATTTAAAAAATATTTTATTTTTTAATTAAAAGAATTTGTCTATTTTTTCATCAGTTTTTCAGTGTTAAAATGATATAGTTTTGAGATATTAACTTATAAGATAAAGTATGATAATTCTTACCACGCAACCATGCAAAAGCTGCACTCGCGGATCGAAGACAAAGAGTCCATACAAAGATGCATTACGTGACAAAAGGGGCGCAAAGACACTTCGATTGGTCTCTAATAACGCTTGTTGACGAATAAAAACTGTTGCATTTTTACTAATATTTTTTTACGCTCGAAAAAATCTCTTAATGTCAATAATAATATAATAATAATTACTCAATTGGTAATCGAAATGAAAATTAATTTATAATTTATTAGACTTAAAAAACTTATTTTTAAATTAAAATTATTTTTTTTTCTATTAATACATTCTATTTAATTGATTAATTAAACGTCAAGGAGGGGCTGTTATATTATGACTGTACAAAAAACCACCTTATTCGAAAATTTGCATATTCTTCAAGTTTGTTCTCTTTCAATTTATTTTCTTTTTTGTGCCAGGGGTTTCTTTTTCAACTCCCTTCCAAACTTAACTAAACTTTTTTCACCAAAATTTTAGACTGAAGCTATAAAACTCGATTTCAGAACAGAAAAGTCAAATATTGACAGAGCTCAGGAAGCTTGAAAAAAAGTTTTGAAAAACTTTTTATTGTATGCTTGATTATATAAGAAAATTTCCAAGTTTCACTTACACTTTATAAAACGGATTCTAATAATTTTTTCTTTCTAAAAATTTTCTCTAATATATTGATTAATTTTTTTTTCAATTCAAAAATAAAAATTAATTTTATAATTATAATTAATTAATTAATTATAATTATTATTACACAATTGTTTAAAGTATTTTTTTTAAATTCCATATAAAAAAGTTAATTTACAAAATGTGAGGAAAATTATCAACGACAATGCAATAACTTGCATTGATTTGCATATATTCTGTTTAAAAAGGGAAGTGTGCATTATTCATCAAAAGTGCACCCAGAATACATTGTGTGTTTACACAAAGCGTATGTAAAATAATAAATATACCATATTCATTCAGAAATTAATAGTGTTATCCGCGACAATAATGCGAAAGTAATTAATATTAAAATCATATTTATCCGCGAGTGATTTCAAAAAAGACAAAAGGAAATTTTATCGCGAATAAAAAATAATACAATTAATAAATATATATAAATAATGTAAAAAAATTATTGAAAATTAAAAAAAATTTAAATATTTAAAAAAGTAAAAAAATTTATTAAAAAAAATAAATTTAATTTACAAAATATGTTCATGTACCGTAAATTGAATAATTCACTTTCTTGTAAAATAAAAAAAAGAAGAGGTATCCTGACATTGTCTAATATTTCAAGAAGTAATATTTTTTCTTCACTTATCAAAAATATCCACGAAAGCCAGAGCAATCCCATAATTCATCCGCATTTTATATTTTTCCCCATGGGCACTTGGTCCCTTCTCAACCCCCATCATCCTCCTCCAACAGCTCATTTGTATAGTCTCAAAACTTCCCCGTCACAACTTTATATATATATTCCATACTGCGTGCGGAAAAAGTTACCCTTCATGTATAGGGGGAAAAAAATAAAAAAGCAACACCTTTTAAAATGATTCCCAAGAAAAAATATATCGAATTTATAATAATAAAAAGTGACGATCAACAGGCCAATTTATATAAAATGTTTTTTCTTAGATAAAAGCAAAAAAAAAAAAAAATACTGAACTATTTTTTTTACAATCTAGAAGTAAATAAAAATGATTGTCAACGTTCAAAAAGTAAAAATAATAAAATTTCTATATGAAATATATTGTATTTCTCTGTGTGTAAAGAAAAAGTTGAAAAACATATATATACACGAATTTGCTGGAGTTTAAAGAAAATTGTAAAAATTCAACTCACGCCCACATGTTCTCTAAAGGGTGTGGCTCTCACTCGGAGAATCCGCGAGTTTAAAGGAATCGAATTCCGCACTTTTATCTTCCAATGTGTGATTATTATTTTTTTTATTTGGAATTTTATTTTTTTCACAACCGCTGTCATGCTTTGATATATAAAATTTTTGTTTATTTTATTAAATATGTTTTTTTTTTAAATTTTGATGCCACGGAATATAAAATTTTCGCACTATACTAATCGAATTCAATTGGGGTTCCTTCAATTGTAAATAATACCAATATTTTCGGTACTATCAATTTTAGTTATCTCAAATTTTATAGGTACTATCAATTGTAATTAACACCAATTTTAGGTACTCCCAATTTTGTGATATTATTATTATATTTAGATATATAATAATATTATTATAATATTAATTTTTAATTGATAATTTTTCAACTTTTTTACTATTTAAAAATGACGTTAGAATATCGAAATAATTTATTATTAATGGGAGAATATACATAAAAGCTAATGGTATTTATAGATGATATCAACTAGATATTCCATTTTGATAATAATATGAATTAGCTCCGTAAAAAAATATTTAAATTGAACATAAAATATAAAGGACATTTTTTTTTGTTATAACTATATTTATAACAGTTTTATAATATTTTATGTTTCTCTGAATATATTATATTGTATTATAACGATTTAATCGAATACATGCGGTGTACATATTTGTGAGACAATTTTGTAAAAATTATAATTTCTCGTATAATTTTATGGCCTTTGGTTATATTTATGTATCGGGTAATATCCCGAAAAAATGAACCCTCTGTGAACTATATACGCGAGGAAAAAGTTGCAATATATAGTTATATATATTTCATGCTATTTTACTGATAATTCCAGTAAAGAGTCTGGGCATGAAATATTACTGAAATAATAATAAATAAATTTCCCCACTATACATATATATAAATGCTCTAAATGTAATAGGACTATTTTCAAGATAAATTTTTAACGTTCCAGATTTCTGCGGAGAGAAAATTACCATTTCTCAAGTAGAAAATATATAAATTCGACATACACCTTAAGATAATAATATTGATTTATTTTGAGAAATCTAAATAATTTGATTTTTTTTCTAAAAAAAAATAGATGGGAATTATAATCGTATTAACATTCAAAATCATCATTTATAATTATATTAAAATCTTTTGGAATGAATTGATTTAATTTGTATATTTCATCCCTGTGTTTACATCGAAATATAAAGGTAGGGTCATAAACAATATGGCCTGTGAAAATCCCAAGGATAATTAAATCAGTTGCAATTCGTGTATTGACCTGTTAGGACGCGATCAACATATAATTTTAAAAATAAAACATTTATTTTTCTCCGGGAGTGTTCGAATTTTTTAAAATCGCGATCGCTTAAATCTTTAAAAAGAGTACTTTTTTAAATGTCCGTTTTCGGGAGTGTTCGGAAATTTTTTAAATCGCGTGTGTTTACAACAGATCTGATACATCTAATTTTTTTCCACAAATAAAAATTTATTACTATATTTTTTTATATATTAAGAATATAAAACAAATGAAAAGGAAACTTTGAGGAAAATAATTTATGAATTATTATTTTTAATATAAATATTTTATTAATGCAAACTTCTTTATTGAAAGAAAGAAAATTTAATTGAAAAAAACTCACTAATAAATCAACATTAAATGAACATTTGTTAAATGAAATAATAAAACGTATACCTTGAACAATATAATACAATGTTCAAGGAAAATATTAAAGTGAATTTCCGGATAATAAATCCTTTATTGCAAAAAAAAATAGATAAAATTTTTATATATATGAATTTCTTGGAAAATCCTTTTTATATATCAGAAAATAAAAAGTTTGCAACATGAATAATTAATATAATATTTTTTAAATTTTGTTTTACCACGCGGAGAAAGAAATTAGTTGTAACTAAATTTTGATTGTAACCAAATTTGTTTTGATTATCCTAATTAAATTTTGATTGAAACCAGATTTCTTGTAATTGTCCTGACAAAATTCTGGTTGATATAAAATTTCTAATAAATTATTAAATTTTTTTCGGTTATCCTAAATTTTGATTATGAATCCAATGTCTTTAGAGTATCCCAGTTAAATTTTTAATCATAAAAGGGAATTAAAATTTTCCCAGCAGTGAGATAAAATTCGTTGAATTGACAAAATTGTTGATAAATGGGAATTAAAATTTTCCCACCAGAGGGATAAAATCCGTTAAAGTGACAAAAATAAATGGTTGATAAAGGGAAATGAAAATTGCCCAAAGATAAAATCCGTTGAGGAAAAAAAGTGTGAATCTTACCATGATAATAAAGTGCACCAGATGCATTTAGTGGTGGTGGACTTGGAGCAGTTGCACCAGCAGTTGGACTATGTGGGCTCCAACAGGTCTGGGTCCCTTGTCGATTATCAACATCGCCAACAACATCGATTTCCTCCTCCTCATTCTCACTTCTGTCCCTCTTCTCTTGGAGATTGACCTGGTCGCCAACAACAAGACCTCTTCCAATTGCTGCAGTATTATCATCATTATTCTCAGTTGTAATTTCCTGATCATCGTCGACTCTGTCCGGCCATGGATACGCCTTCCATTTTTTTGCCATTAAACACCTTGGCATTCTGATGGTATGAATTTTTTTTAAAATAATGATGAGAACTCAGGTCACGCGGCAGCGCATACACCCGAGCGCAGCAACAGGATGAATCGTCGACGACGACAGTGGCAGCAGCAACAGTACGTTCAGCAACAGGAGCGCCTCGACGCCGGCGTCTACGTTTAACACGCTTTCCGTTAATGAAGAGAAGAAATTTTGTGGCCGGCACCCAGGTCGAGGATGGACATTGGAAAATCGTCATCGGCACTTGACACTTTCTCCATTTTCCGTCACCATTATTATTATTATTATTATTTTTGATAATAAATACACACACGCACACTACACTTGGAGAAGTAAAATTTTGTAAGGCGAAGGGAGGAGAGAGAAAGAGAATGGAGGAGAAGTAACAAATGAGAATCAGAGAGAAATAGAGATAAAAGAAGAAAAAATTGTTGGTGATCCTGGCCCCGTGGTGGCCCTTGCCAGGGATGGGCACTAATAACGCGGAATGGGGCGCGACTGCTTAGCGGTGGCGCTCTCTCGACACTCCGGACCCCAATGTTGCGTCTCTCACCCCTCTGCGCTGCGGCTGACGATGCATATGTGTATAGGGTGGAAATACTTTGGTAGTGGTGCGAGTAGAGACGGGAGGGTGTCGATCCCGCTGCGGGGGAGCCGATTGTATGGACAAATGTTGTTACGAGAGTGTTGGTGGAGAAATTGTCTGGGTGGTAGTTGTGCTTCTAGTGGTGGTGGTTTCGTTTTTGAAGGGGGGTGGAACAACGACAGAGGGATAGCGCACGTCTCTGTTCATGCTCCCTACTTTACAAGTAGGGTTCTCTCTCAAGAGGAAGGGGTGATTTTACACGAGAGGGATGCATTTCTCTTTCTCTATCTTGTTTTCTTTTCTCTCTCTCACTCCTTTACCTTTTTTCTCTCTTTCGCTAAAAAGAGTGAAGGGAAAAAGAGGTTTGCCTCTCTCGCTCTGAGAAGAAGAGTAAGAGAGATGCCCCCTGAGAAGAGGAGTGAGAAAGATGGGAAGAGAGTAAAGGAAAGAAAGACATCTCCCTCTCTTTCCCTAAGAAGAGGAGTAAGAGAGATGGGAAGAGAGTGAAGGAAAGAAAGAGACACCTCTTTCTCTATGAAGAAGAGTAAGAGAGATGAGAAGAGAGTGAGAAAGGTAAGGAATAAGTGAGAAATAGGGGAGGCAGTGGGAGAAAGAAGTTACGAGAATGAGTAAAAGAGAGATAGTATTGGTACTAGGCAAATAGTAGATAGAGAGTAAGAGAGAGGAAAATAGATAGAAGGAGAGTAAGGGAGACATAAAGAGTGAGTGAGGAAGGGGTATAGTAAGAGACAGATAGTAAAGAAAAAAGAGAGGGATATAAATGAGAGAGAGAGAAAATATGGTTTGCCAGCACATGCGCAGGGGTGAAACATCGACCCGACCAGGCTAGGCAACACCTGGTAGTGCCCCACGTGCCACTGTGGGGAGGCAACGCCACTCTATCCCTCTCTCTTTCTCTCTCAAATACGAGTATCGAATATCCCACTGGCCTTTAAGCTGACTGTGTGTCTACTGACCCACGCCAATACGATAGGATCTCCTTCCTGTCGCCTTTTCACATTATTTCCTCTATAGGGCTCATGTCTTATGCAGATTTTCATCATTCCCGTATTAATGACTTGATATTAGGTCCTGTTTATACATACATACAAAATAAGGAAGGGGTAGAAACACACACTCTCTTAAAATTAATGCTCTATCCCTTTTGTCTACTTTCATGAATTTATGAATTAGATTTCAAGTATAGATTGCGTTTTTTTTTTGACAAATTACTTCCAAGCATTTTCAGAAAAAGCTTAAAAACGGATTGATAATTAGAAAAGTAATAGTGTTTTAAAAATTTTTTTTACTAGTTTTAACAGTAAAAATTAATACCCTACGATTGAAATAACGAAACGTGAAAAAATTTTCATGATTTATTTTCTAAAGTAAGATTAATCGACTCGCCATATGAAAATTATGGCCAATGTTTCAAAAAAAAATAAAGGGTGACAAAACCGGTGCTGCGTTCTCGAATCATTATTATATATTATAAAGGGACACAAAAAAAGCGTTACGATAAAAAAAAGGGGAGGCAACCTAAATGGACTGGAAATTTCGTTACGAAGTGTTTGCTGTGACTTTTAAAAGAATCGCTTTCGATATACAAAAGATTCTTTTGAAATTCTTTGATAAATAGAATATTAAGTAGCACATGATCGAGAAAAAAATACTAGAGTATATATTATATATATAAGCAATAAATTAAAAATAGCAAAAATTTTCTCGCTTTTATATAAATTCAAATAAAAAATATATTCCAATTAATTCTTACTGCGGAAAGGTGTATATATGCATTTCAACAGTTAATATTTTTTATATGTAGAATTCCTTGTACCCCACCTCAAAAAAAGACTATAATTTACTAACCAAATAATGGTTTTATACAGTTTTTTCAGTCGTGATGCAATTATCTTCCTTTCTACTGTATCTGCCTATATATACGTGTAACAGAAAATTTTACTGCCAACCAGCAACAATGAAAAAAATTTCATCGATTCATTAAGAAGAAAAAAAAAGTAGAAAAGAATAATTATTTTACCTCAGGAATTAGGTTTCCTTCATTAAAATAGTTATCAAAGTAATTACATTATTTTTCAAATTTTCTTTTATTTATGAAATCAAAACCTTTTTCAGTTGAAACAAAAATATTATTCGTTTTGAAATAATATAGTTTGAAATATTAACAACTAATTGCTATTGATAATTAATTTCTACATTAAAACTATTTCTTTCTGATTAACAACTATTAATACTAACAAAAACAATAATTTTGTTGGTAGTTAAAATAATTGATAACGCAGCTAGTTTGATAAATTAACTGTTATATTTATATAACTTCATTTACAATTCATTCTCCTATTATAGAAATAATAAGATATATAGTGGTATCTTTAATTTCACGCTGAATGTTAAATCTGAAAAATAATTGAATTCACTTCCATCTATGTAAATGTTACAATTAAGTTTTGAGTGTTTATTAATCGCATCCTCCAAGAGGAAAAATATTGTCGCAGGAAGTTACAATTGTATGGGTTTCTTTTTGCTGATTGCGAACTGTGTATATAGTCAATCGATCAATATATATATATATATATAATATACTCTTTTCTCAAGAGGCAAAAAGCGAGGCTTACGTCGATTGGGTTTACTTATACGAGAGAACGCCGCGCGTTATTTACTTTTAGAGAAGGAAACTCTACTGATATGCTATATAGTGTTGAAGATCGGATTTTAAAGCCCGCAGTGCGATTGTATATAGATATAGAAAGAGAGAAAGAAAGAGAGAGATGGGGGATTTTGAACGTGAGAGCTTGCGCCTCTGATACCATTTCCAACAATCAGAGTCTACTTATCGATTTCGTTGATGAGTCCAGTTACCTTCCATTTGCCCACATATTTTTCCAACTATATTTCTTTCAAGGTTCTAATTGAATTTATATATATAAAGACTTTTCTGGGAGGTAACGATTCTTGTCAAATACCTTTTGTAAAATTTGTGCAGAAATTGAAATGTGGCCTTTCCCAGAGAAACTAGCTAGTATCCGACAAAGCTGTTACGCTGTTTCCAACTAATAAAAAAATAACTAAATTAAACTTTTTACAACTCTAAACTAGACAAAAGAAATTGAATTTTCCTTCATTTTTCCTAAAACCAAAGAATAAATGCATTTTTTATGCAATTGTTATCCTTTCGTACTTTCTGCAGATTTCTTTCGATTATATATATATATTGCAGAAAGTTGCGACCTTAGCTGCGCAGAGGCCGTATAACGTATATATAAATAATAAAGGGAAGCTGAGAGATGATACAGAGGTCCCAGGAGATTTTCAATCCAATGAATTTTAATTTCTAAATACTTTTTAATAGTTGATTCGAATGAAAACAACGAAAAATGGGTTTCGATATTATATAATTAAAATTGTTGTTATTTTTTTCTCAAAAAATTGTTCATTAATTTTCGAACATTTTTTGAAATTAAAATAGAAGTTTACAGGAACAAAAATATTTTTTAAACATTAAATAAGTGGGAAAATAGAATGAAACTACGCAACTTGATATAAAAAAAAGTTTATTTTTGAATTTTTCGTTATGATACAAATTTCAACTTTTAAAGTTAATTTTATGTTTTCTTTTTATTTTCACAGAAAGAAGAAAAAGAAACAACGCACATTATTTAGAAAAATATTTTTTTTCCTATACACACCTTCTGCACTAACATTGTAAATATTATAATACAAAGTTTGGCGAGAAAACGCAGGAAACCAGACAAGCAAGCAAGCCAGTAAAGTCAACTACCTGTGGATACCACTTCAGGCAACCCGTAATACACTTCTGCGATCGTGTAACCAACCGCTTGTCCCGCAGGAGTCACCAAAATGGTCTGTAATTATTTCTTTTATAATTATATATGTATATACACACACATAGGTACAGACAGAGAAAATGAGAGTGCGTAAAAAGAGAAAGAATACTAAATACAAACGCGGTTGCCTCGCAAAGGTCAAAATTATGTCAAGGGAAATGGAACAATTTTATTTAAAGCTGCAAAAGCAGTTTATCGCAATTAATCCTTTTCTTTTCATTCCCCACAGCTATTCCCAAGACACTTAATGTCTTACTAAAGTCTCTCTTTTTCAAGGGAAATTTCAGAAAAGTCCGGCAATTATTCTTCAACATACTAACGTCATTAAATATAAAAACAAAACCTAAAATTAATTTTAGTCTAGCTTCAAATCAGTTGATCCAATCAAAAAGTACACCATACATTTTTTGTTCGCAACTCCCGGATTAAGGATTTAGTGTTGTTCTAGTGCAATAACCTCAAAAATTTATATTTTAGAAAATTTTCCGAATTTATTTTTTACTATAGCTCAGCATCCGCTGGACCAATCAAAAAGTGCGCCATAAATTTTTTGTTCGCTACTTTTTCCTAAAGACTTTGGCGGTATTCCCGAACGAGTATCTAGAAAATTTAATTTTTCATCAATTTTTCCAAAATGTTTTTTAGTGCAGCTCAGCATCCGCTGGACCAATCAAAAAGTGCGCCATACATTTTTCGTACGAAACATTTTCCCTAATTTATTGACGGTATTCCGGAACGATTATCTCGAAACTTTAATTTTCAACAATTTTTCCAAAATGATTTTTAGTGTAGCTCAGCATCCGCTGGACCAACCAAAAAGTGCGCCATACATTTTTTGTTCAGAACATTTTGACTATTTTTTTGGTGGTATTCACGAGCAATTATAACGCAAATTTAATTTTTCGAAAATTTTCCGAATTTTTTTTTTAGTATAGCTCAGCATCCGCTGGACCAATCAAAAAGTGCGCCATACATTTTTTGTTCGCTACTTTTTGCTAAAGACTTTGGCGGTATTCCCGACCAATTATCTCGCAAATTTAATTTTTTTAAATTTTTAAAAAAATTTTTATGAGTGTAGCTCAGCATCCGCTGGACCAATCAAAAAGTGCGCCATACATTTTTTGTTCGAGACTCCCGGGTTAAGACTTTGGCGGTATTCCCGATCAATTATCTCGCAAATTTAATTTTTCGAAAATTTTCCACATTTATTTTTTAGTATAGCTCAGCATCCGCTGGACCAATCTAAAAGTGCGCCATACATTTTTTGTTCGAAACTTTTTCCCTATTTTATTGGCGGTATTCTTGAGCGATTATAACGCAAATTTAATTTTTCGAAAATTTTCCGAATTTAGTTTTTAGTATAGCTCAGCATCCGCTGGACCAATAAAAAAGTGCGCCATACATGTTTTGTTCAGAACTTTCTTCTAATCACTATGGCGGTATTCCCGAAAGATTATCTAGCGAAT